ATCGTTTCAGATAAATACATGAGAACACCAAACAAAGAAGATGTTACCAGATTGCTAAAAGAAGGCGAAAAACGCGGGTTTCCTGAAATGTTGGGGAGCATTGATTGTATGCACTGGAAATGAAAAAATCGTCCAGTGGTGTGGAAAGGTATGTACGTTAGGCATGCTCGTGAACCAACTATAATTCTTGAAGCTATAGCTTTCCATGATCTTTGGATATGGCATGCATTTTTTGGTGTGTCAGGATCACATAATGGTATAAATGTTCTAGGCAAATCATTTTTATTCAGAGACCTTGTTGAAGGTCGTGCTCCCCCAGCCAACCACTCAATCAACGGTTATAACTATACAATGGGATACTACCTTGTTGATGGTATATATCTTCCATGGTCAACATTTGTGAAATCGATTCCAAATCCAATAGATGACAAATATAAACAATTTGCTACAACTCAAGAATCTGCAAGAAAAGATGTTGAACGAGCATTTGGAGTGTTGCAATCACGATTTGCAATTGTTTGTGGAGCAGCAAGTTTTTGGCATCGTGAAACTCTAAAAGAGATCATGAAAGCTTGCATCATATTACATAATATGATAGTTGAAGATGAACAACATACTACTAATATAAACTTTGATTATGATGCGGTTTATGAAGTTCCAAACATATCGGTTTCACGTGACCATACAACATACTTTTTGAATTTATAGAGGGTCATCATCGTACTAGAGATAAAAATATTCACTCTCAGCTCCAAAGAGACCTTATGGAGCACATTTAGAATATACATGGAGCTCAAAGCATGTCTTAATCTTATGAATTAACTTCTAGAATTATATGTTATTATGTTTATCCCAATCTTAAGAGTTTCTCAAATGATTTATTTCCCTAAATCTCTTTTCTTTTATGCAAATGCTCTAAGAAATGGTTATTCCTAAGAGGGGCAGGGGAGGGGGAAACAAATGAGATTGACTCGAATTACATCCCATTCCTGCTAAGTTTCTATTTCTGATGTTGCAATAATTAATCACATCAACATAAGGAAGGCAAGAAGAAAAAGGAATTCAAGCTATATAAAGACAAATTAGTTGCTATTTTGATTAAGCTAAATTCATAGGCTAGAATATGTTGAATTTTACATAATGATGAAGATAGCAATTTCTACCATACGTCGGACTTTTACAGGAGAAAAAGAACCAGTTAACCCAAATATGTAAGCAAATACTCATGGACCTGCTTCAGCAGATTTTAATTACGCCCTTAATCAAGCTAAATTCAACGACCTACAGTTCTTTTTGCGAGAATTTCCTTCTGATATTGCATATATAAATCTGCAAGCATTTGAGGCATTCCAATTGTATCCATCATCATTATCCTTTCATCCTCTTTCATTTGTTCCAATTGAAGCTTTTCTTCCTCATAGGCAAGTCTCTTTTGTTCTTGAGCATATTGTCTTTCAAACATTTCTATTTTCTTCTTATTGAATTGTTTCTTTTCTTCTCTCATTGCTTGTAAGAAAGTCATACATGCTCTTGATGAGTCATTTCTAGTATCTTTATCCTTCATCTTCTTTCGATCTTTTTCGGCCTTTCTTCCAGGTGATCTTTCCAAGTCTACAGAGTTAGAATTTTGAATATTATCATCTCCAAGATCCACGCAAGTCCCTTGTGTTTGACCAATGGTGAAATCAGATGAAGAACTTGTGGTTTTCCTTCTTATCGGTTTTTTATTTTGGCAATCTTCCAACCACTTTGGCTGGTACCTTAGCATATTTAAGCAATGTTCAAATTTAAATGGATGCCTTTATTTAATTCTTGGTACAAGAGTTTTGCATTAGCAATCTGGAAAAAAAATAATAATAAAATATCAAACTAGAAGTGAATTATTAATGATATGTATATCAAAATAAACATGATTGTAAATATCTTATCTTGCTCGTTAACACCACTTTGGTTTCTAGATTCAATTTGGGCATAGCATCCACAAAATTTATTTGTAGCCAGTTGAATGGTTGACCAATGGTTCATCAAAGAAACTTGTGTTCCCGTAGATTCAAATTTCTTGTACTTGTGAAAGTATTCCCACAATCAGAGTCCAAAAGGCCTTTTGTTTCTGTTCATTTCCATGTTGTGCATCCAAACTAACATTGAGCCATGCTGACACAATGAGAATATCCTCTTCCACAGTAAAGTTCTCACCTCTTGATCTTTGAGAGTTGGTTCTAAAGGAGCATTTGACACATGAAATTGATCATCAAAATTGGGATATTGGGTTGAAAACTGTGGATTTTCATTTGTATCATTATATTGATTTTCATACATGCTTGTTTGAATATCCATGTTGAAGAAAAAGAATATACACACACACACAGCATAAATGAAATATATACATGTATTGCAGAAAATGGCCGTTGCAATGATTCAATAAAATGTGCATTGAAAGTTGGAATCTTTGAAGCAATAAATTATAGAGAAATGGGTTTGGCTTTCCAAATTTGGAGAGTCAAACCTACTCTTTATTTTAAAATGTTAAATTGAAGAGTCTCTTGGAATAAAATTAAAATTTTAAAGATTGACTCTTTAAAATAGAGAGCATTTCACTTTTAAAGAGGTTGTTGGAATTGCTCTAAAGGTCTACCAATTGCTAAGTATGCCTAAGCGCGGGACAGAGAGAAATGCCTCGCCTAGTGCCTGGGTAGGAAAAATGTGGTCAACGTAGATAAACTAAGGTGTGACAATGCAACAACCATGCTAGATATCCAGGTTTAGTGACAAATTTTCATTTCCATAAAATATTTGGCAATTTATCATTGGAAGTTGGAAAAAGAGAGAAAAACACTCAATCACAATTTGCCAAATCACCCTACTTTCTGCAGTCTATTTCCAATCCTTGTCCAACCAGCTTATTTGACTATGCAAAATTGGTGTGCACCTTTTTATTTGGCAAGATATATTTTTTAATTTTGAAGTTGAGTTTAAAAAAAAAATGTTTAATAATTTTAAAACAAAAAATGAAAATAATTCCAATAAAAAGTATATTCTAGTCCAGACCTAGACCACGAATAATATAGTTTTTGCTTACCAACAAAACATAATTGATATGTTTTCGTTGGAATTTTGAAAAATATTTTTACATTTCCTATATTCAAGGTATAAATTATTTTATATATTCATTGATTTAAAATACTTAAAATTATATAAAAATAGGTATAATGTCTTCTTACGCTTTGACTGTATCTGACTTCTTAGGTCCTGTTTGAAGCCCATCATTTGAAAAATTAAAGAATTTTGAATAATATTTTTAGCGAATGCATGGTTAAATAATAAGGAAACTTTATTAGTTTATGTGTAGAATATTTTATAGTATGAATGTATGGTGTGGAATGATACTATAACAAATAATTTAATTTTTTAAAGGTTGCCAAATAGGGGCTCAAAGCTTGAGGCTTGAACTTCGTGCCTTGTCCCTTCTTACAATTTTAAGAACTGCTTAAAATCTTAACAAACATGGTTTCTTAAGAGGATATTATTTAAACCATATTTGTATAAATTAAAATCTAAATTTTAATTTAAGTCAAATTCAACAATTAATTTTGACTACGTATTTTATGGGACTTACAATTGTTCAACAACTTTTATCAAAACTTCTAAAATTTTAATTTTAATCCCACCAAATAGGATTTTAATTATAGCCATGCCACACGAGCTATACAATTTTCAATTATCTTAGGTGTATAATATTTGTACATAGCAATTCATACAACCCTATCATGTGAAGGGACAGGGCCATGTGAAACTTGCTGATGCAACAAGCATCCAAACCCTGCAATTTTTTCCATTTCCCGATTTGCATCAAAAAGTCAAAAACCAAATCCCTCCCTATTCCACATAGTGCATAGCTCAATGCCTCAATCCAAAAGGCTATGGCGAATTTAATCTAGGGAAAATTGTAGTAGAGATTTCAAATCTTTAAAACATTAGCAAACTTTATCCAAACCTTTTATTTGTTGCGTCATCCAAAACTTTTCGAAACGTTGCGGCAGAGGCCCTTTTTGACGATTTTCATTCAAATGTCTCTTAGTTAACTAAAAAATTTGATTTTGACCATATTTTTAATATTTCTGAAAGGGTAAAATAGTAACTTTTCATTTATTACATTAAAATAAGTTAGAAATTAAATTTAAAAAAATAAGAAATTAGAAAATAAAGACCAATCATCCACCCCACCCAAAATTAGTTCCCGACCACCTCCACCTCCAAAACGATCCCCAACCATAAAAATCCAAACCAAAATGCATCCCATGGAAATATAAAGACAAATAAACCAAAATGTAACCCACAGATCTATGGTTCAAATAAAATGGATTTTCTGTAGGTCACCTCCAATATTAAGGATGTATGGTAAAATCATTGGAATGTTTCACAATCATAGATGCCGCTTCCTCTGTAATTTTTCAAGGGTTGTTGATTTTTTGTTGCTAGTAATGGGGTAAAATCAATGGAATGTTTCACAATCATAGATGTTGCTTCCTCTGTAATTTTTCAAGGGCTGTTGATTTTTCAAGGGCTTCCAGAAGACGATTGATTTTTATTTTCTAATTTCTTATTTTTTTTAAATTTAATTTCTAACTTATTTTAATGTAATAAATGAAAAGTAGCTATTTTACCCTTTCAAAAACATTAAAAGTATGGTTAAAGTCAAATTTTTTAGTCAACTAATAGCCATTTGAATGAAAATCCTTAAAAAGGACCTCTGTCGCAATGTTTCAAAAGATTTAGAATGACGATTACAATAAATTAAAAATTTGAAAAAAATATACTAATACTTTAAAGGTTTAGAACTTTCACTGCAATTTTCCGTTTAATCTACTATACAACTCCAATTCCACATAAATTCACGGGCGGACCGGGGGTCTTATAGGGTCACTTGACCCCTAGTTTTTGTAATTTTTTTTAAGTTTTAGGTCAAAGTTGCAAAAAATCAAAAGCCCTAAAATATAAATTGAAAACTGGAAGCAAGGGCACAACAGCAGCCAGCAGGCCTCCGTCTCCCACTCCCACTCCCACTCCCACTCCCGCACGCTGTATCTCTTTTCCACTCCCAGGGCAAGTCGGCAACTGACCAACGGTGGCAACTGGCAAGCCGCCTGTGCACTGCGACCGTGCGACGACTGCAGCTTTCCACGGTCTGTCGGTCCATCCCTGACGCCATGCAAGTTGCGACTGCGTGCGTCCGCCCTTAACTTCCGGCCGTCTCCAAACTCCAATCCATTCACAATCCACTCGACTGCCGTCTTCTTGAATCTTGAAGGTGTGTCACAACTCACATGTTCATCTGATTTTAGTTAATTTCTTCCAATTCCATTTTAGTGCTGTGTTACCCCTGATTTAGTGATTGACTGATTTCAATTCCATTTCTAATTTATATGCAACTCATTCCTTATTTATTTGGTTTCCCCTGAGTTAGTGATTTGCTATTAATTGTGTTTTCTAATTTTTGGTTTAGTTTTGTGTTTTTCGATTAAGGGATTTTTGATTTTAGGAATTTAGGGATTTCGATTTAGGGCTTTCTTATTTATATTCATATGTGAATTGATTTAGGAAGATTGGAACTTTGTTTGAATTTTGGTAGGTATGATTTAGAAGAAGAAACTGATTTGAGGATTTCTAATGTTGTTGATTTTTTGTTTGTATCAGTTATGGACAAATACTTTAAACGAAAATCTACGCATTCCTGTGACGATCAAAATATCATTGAAAGGAACGTTCGAGAGAAAAGGGATCAAAATAATGTTGATGTTGATATTGATGTTGATGTTGGAGATGTTGGGGATGTTGATGTTGCACAGCTTCCTTTGGATCCTGGATTAAGAGTTCCAATACAGAATTATGATGTTAACGTTCAAGACGTGATTCGAACAGCATATATGCAAAGGGGTCCTTGTCAGCCTCGCAGTCATGCATTTCCATCCACAAGAATGGGTAACAAAGATAGGCGGTTTTGTGTTTCGTGGTATAATGAGCATCCTACTTGGTTGGAATATAGTATAGCAAAAGATGCAGTGTTTTGCTTTTACTGCTATCTTTTCAGTTTGAGTGGTGGTTCATTTGTTAAAGAAGGATTTTCGAATTGGAAAAAGAAAGAATATATTAGAAAACACGTTGGGGCTTCAAGTAGTGCACACAATCAAGCTCGGGTGAAATATGAATTGTTCAAGAATCAAAAACAAAGTAGTCGAACCTGTCTGGTTAAGCAATCTCATCAAGCTCGAACTGATTTTCAAATTCGATTGAATGCATCAATTGATTGTGTTAGATTTCTTCTACGTCAAGGGATGGCATTTCGTGGATACGATGAATCCGAAGATTCAAACAATCAAGGAAATTTTCTTAAACTATTGCATTGGCTGTGTGATCATAATGCTGAGATTAAGGCCGTTGCTTTATTGAATGCGCCCGAGAATTTCAAATTAACATCACCAAGAGTGCAAAAAGATATTGTGAGTGCTATTGCTTCTGAATGTCTACATGTGATTATCAAAGATGTTCGTGACAGTTTCTTCTCAATTTTAGTTGATGAATCTCGAGACATTTCAATGAAGGAGCAAATGTCAGTTATCATTCGTTATGTGAAGAATGGGTGTGTATTGGAACATTTTATTGGTGTCATTCATGTTTTGAGTATCACGGCCGCCTCACTTAAGGTTGCAATTGATCAATTATTCTCAACGCACAACTTAAGCATATCTAATTTGAGAGGTCAGGGATATAATGGAGCTAGTAACATGCGAGGTGAATATAATGGCCTCAAAGCACTTATTTTGAAAGAAAACCCAAGTGCTTACTACATTCATTGCTTTGCTCATCAACTTCAACTAGCTCTTGTAGTTGTGGCACAGAAACATCCAAATATTGAAACTTTCTTCACTATAGTACACAAATTGGTGAATATTGTTGGGGGATCAGCTAAACGGAATGACCTTATTCAAGAGAACCAAAGATTGAAAATTCTTGAATCACTTAGTATTAGTGAAATATCAAGCAGATGGGGTCTCAATCAAGAAATTACACTTCAGCGTCCTGGTGATACACGTTGGGGCTCTCACTATAGTTGTTTAATTAACTTAATTGTCATGTTTCCAACTATAGTCGACGTTATTGAGATGATTGCTACCGACACTACAAGTACCGGAACAAGAGGTGATGCATGTATTTCGTTGGAGTTGATGTTAAGATTTGAATTTGCATTTAATCTACATCTCATGAAAATAATTTTAGGGATTTCAAACGAATTGTCAAGAGTATTGCAAAGAAAAGATCAAGATATTGTTAATGCTATGAGATTGGTGCAAATATGTAAAGCCCAGCTTCAAGCTATGAGGGATGATGGATGGGATTCCTTTTTTGAATTGGTTTGTTCGTTCTGTGAAACTCACTCGATCAATGTTCCCAATATGAATGATATGTTCATAACTTTAGGTCGTTCACAGCGTGAGACAGTGACAAATTTGCATCATTTTCGTGTGGAAATGTTTTATGCCGTCATCGATATGCAACTTCAAGAGTTGAATGATCGTTTTTCTGAGATAAACAATGACTTGCTCCTTTGTGTTGCGTGCTTGTCTCCAAATGATTCATTTACTGCCTTTGACAAGACCAAAGTGTTGCGACTATGTCAGTATTATCCAGTAGATTTTGATGCAGTAGATATCTTAAAACTTGAAGATCAACTAGATACATATATTCTTGATATGCGCACTTTCGGAGAGTTTGAAGGATTACAAGGCATTAGTGATCTTGCACAGAAGTTGGTTGCAAAAAATAAACATAAGGTATATCCATTAGTCTACAAGCTTGTGACATTAGCTTTAGTTCTTCCGGTGGCTACTGCTACAGTTGAGAGAGCATTTTCTGCAATGACTTACGTCAAAAATCGTCTATGCAATCAAATCGGAGATCAGTGGTTGAATGATAGTTTGATTGCATATATTGAGAAAAATGTTTTTGACAAGATTGAAAATGATGTAATTATGGAACGTTATCAAAGTATGAGAACACGTAAAGAACAATTGTAATAAGATATCTTTTACTTTAATTTTTTGTCACTTTTTTTTAAAGTTTGATTGTGAACCTAATCCAAAATGTCTACGTCCGTCCCTGCATAAATTCCTATCCAAATTACACCGCCAGCACAAACCATATAGCACAAGCTTTACAGGGAACTCGATAATGCTCTCTCTAATATTTGCAGCAAGAAACTCCTTGTCGTCGGTGCCATTGGCTACCAACGCAGTGGAAGCTGAGGCTCAGAAGTCTTCCATGACTCCAGCCAAATTGCTTCAGTTTTGTGTTGGCCAAGGTTTTGATTTGCACCAGCTTGAGTCGGGTTATCGGCTCATCATTGGTGTTATCAATATTCCTCATGATCGAGGTTGTGAAGCTCACTCCGATGGTAATCTATAACATCTATACATGCTTATGTGCGTGTTTATAAAAAATAATTCATTTTGGTATTTGCATTTTTATTGTTTGACTTTAATTTCATATTTTTTGATAAATTCAATTATGATGAATCTCAGTCCCAAATTTAGAGCAATGTTACAAACTACACACACGCTGTGTGCATTGTTATGTTGACTTTCTGCAACAAATTCCTCATCCCATTTGACTTTTATGTTTTGAAACTGAAACTGCACCGTTGTTGGATTGGTTCGTGATGCTGTTGTTCTTTAAAAAGATGTGAGAACTTAGTTTTCTGCAGTTGATCAGAATGCATAAAGTCACTGGTTTATGTATTACTGCTACCATTGATGAAAATTGTAGATGTGATGTCTCAAGTCCTTGATGATAAATCATAGAAGAATCCAACCTATATGTAAGGAAGCTTGTTAAAGATTCATTAGAAAAAAATAAACGTGTTGCTTCAGTGAAAGTTTAAGCTTTTAGATTAGGTGATTCTACTAACTTTGTAAAGTTGTCCATGCATGGTAAAGGAAAATGACATCAATGTTCCTCTTAAAAGGAGTAGGCATTCAGTAGAGAAAATTCTAGATTCGTCTGTGTTTGGGATTAGAGTAAGCACTAGAAGAAATTCGCTGTTGTTATTTCTCAATCTTAGCCTCTTTAGGTATAATTCTGTTATAGCCTGAATCTTGCAGTTTTTACCACCTTCCTTTTGATTTAGTGCTGAGAGAGGTTAAAGCTTGAGCTCACGTTGATGTAGGTGAATTAGCAGCTAACCACAATAAATCTTGAGTGTTCTTGCTGTTGTGATTGAATTTCTTTTGGTTGAATTGGGAAGATAACAGAGTCAGTCTAAGATAATGCACTTAACATACATATTATATTTAACATACATATTACATTTTCCCTCTTCCCAAGTCCCATATGAAAATGTGTCTTGTTTGGTCGAGTGATTTGTATAATGCTAGTTTACTTCTCAAAAGCATAGGCTTTCTATAATATTTTCTACGAATAGTGGAAATATTATGGAATATAACTTCAAAAAAGTAGCATACGGTTTGGACACTGTAATATTACAAAAATTGATAGAACATATTATTCCTGTTGCTTTTCTTGAGAGGTACAGTTTACTCTCATGTTTTCATAATGCATGTTAACCCTTATCAGGAATTTGAAAATGTGGAGATTGCATAGAACAAACACAACTGTGATTAAACAAAAATTTTTATCACTTGTAATAAGAGTCGATAAACAGCAAAGTCATGTGCAATTTTTCGAAAATGATTGTCAAAAAATTATTATTGAGGTTGATATAATTCTTGTTTTTCTAGGTGATGTATTGGTACATTGTGTAGTTGATGCTGTATTGGGGGCATTGGGACTTCCAGATATGCGGGAAATCTTTCCAGACAATGATTCTAAATGGAAAGGCGCGGCATCTTCCGTATTCATCAAAAGGAGCTTACAGCTTCTTTACTTTTTCTTTCTTATTTCTTAATTATAGTATATGGTGTCTTTTACACTGTTTACAATATTTATATTTAGATAATTTTTTTACTAGATTGCTTTGTTGTGCTAAGTATTCACCTTTTCTTAGCAAATTTGTTAGTATATTGTGTTTCAAGACTTTGACACCTTAATCTATATGTGAATTGGAGGTCTTGTGGATTTCTTTATTTGTCATTCACAAATTTTTTGCCTCGTTGATGCATAGTTTGCTGACTGAAACTATCTGCTTCTTAGATGTAGTACCAGGGGATAGATCTTGTTAATACTCATTGCAGTCACACGAGGTTGGATGGATCAAGACTATTAAGAAATCTGTTGAAGAATTCGTTGGAAATTACCAATGCAGTTTGTTTATAAGAACCCTTGTGACAAATGGGGTGCAAGCAAGTATGCAGTTGCAAAACCTTCACACACGCCCCTTGTCAAGCTCTTAGCTACTTTTATTATCAACTAATTGCTATTTTCTGATTTCATTTTTTTTTTTTTTTTAACGGTTTACATGTAAGAGCATTGAGATTATATTGACCACTTGATTTTTGTATATATTCCCCTTTACAATCTAAATTATTCTTGCGACATGGTTCATATTAGGTCCGGTTAATGCACGAGTCAGGTTATGAGCTTGGAAACTTAGATGCCACTTTGATTCTGCAAAGAACTAAAGTAAGCCCGCACAAGGAGGCGATCTGGGCTAATTCGTGCGAGTTACTTGGTGCAGACCCTTAAGTTGTAAACCTGAAAGCGAAAACTCACGAGAAAGTTGACAGTCTTGGGGACAATGGGAGTGTTGCAGCACATACGGTGGTTCTCCTTACGAGGAAGTATTAGGCAGGTTTGAAGTCACAATGTTAGGATTGTATGTGTTACTGCTAGTGGATATTCAATTGCGTAGTTCTTACAGTTGACCTAAAAGATGCAATTGATAGTCCAAATGTACGAGAAATTGTACTGATAATGAATCACAATATAATTAAGACTGTGTGCATAGATTTTACCGGTTGTGTCACATACACAATGATTTTACATAACAGTTTACATACATGTGATGTGGAAAGATATGATTGGATTAGAATTTCTTCAACTAGAAAAAAAAATTCTCCACTTTCTTTTTGATACCTCATTTGTATGTAAATTATTATCGAACTATTTGTACAAGTAACATTATTTCTTATTCACTTCTCTCGCTAGTAGTTCAACTACCCTCAAACCTTCTGCTGCTTAGAGAAATTCTGCCTTTAGTTAAAAGCTGCGGGGGCTGGAGTGGGAAACTTAACTAGCTCGAATGCCTATGTAACACCCAAATTTTCATAGACTCTAGAGTGTTACAAAGGATTTACCCTCTTTTTTTTTATTGTATTAAAGGCATGAAAATGAAATAAAATTCTTTATAAAAAAATATCTAGAACATTCATAAATTAAAATTAAAATTAAAATTTGAAAATTGTATCTTTGAAAATAAATATAATCAACTAACTATTAAATAGACATGTCTTTGAACATTAATTAAAAATTAATTAATAATCAATGAAAAGATTTAAAACTTAAGCTGCGTTTGATTGGAGGTGGAATTCCATGGAAAATGGAATTGGAATTTTACATTCCAATTTAATCTTATTTGATAGCATTTTTTTAGCCAAGAATTGAATTTCCATTTTGAGTTCACATAAGCTAAATTCCACCAATTCAAGGAATTGGAATTCTCACCAAAATGGTGAGAATTAGAATTCCCGATGATTGTAGCATTTATTTTTTTATTTTTGCAATGGAAACAAATTCTAAACCTTGTTTGGTCCCCATTAATTTTCATTACATTATATTTCATTTTTCTCTCTTATTTTCAACTACACAATCTTCCATAAAATAATATTATACGTAAATAGAAAATTTTTCTTTCTTTTTCAACCACTTATTTTTCAAAAAAATACTATTCCACTCATTAATGTTTCCATAAAGTGGGGGTCAAACAGGAGCTAAAAATTATTGTAAAAAAATATTTTCCTTTAATTAACAATTTTCATATAAAAACAAAGTCAAACGAACACCGAAAGATAGATGATTTTCTTAAAAAAATTTTTGGGCAATGGAAACAAATTTCATCCCCAATACCAATAAATTCTATCCTTTTAATTGACAATTTTCATGTAAAATAACGCGAAACGAATACCAAAAAATATTTTCATTTCAACATTTTTCACGTAGAAAATTATACCAATTAAATACAATAGTTTACAATTCACGGGAAAACAATTTCATGGCAATTCAATTCATTGGAATTCATTTTCTAGACAATTCAATTCCATCTCTGCAATCAAATGGATCCTTAATGTTTTTTGTTTTCGAATCCTATTGGCAGTCCACATCGTCTTACCACAATTCCAATAAACCTGAACTAACCTGAAAAATTACTGTAAGAGTGAGCATTTAAAAATACTTAATAAGATATGTGTAGTTTAAATAGAAAAATATATAACAATAAAATAAGTAATTCATACCACATATGTTTTGAGGTATATTGATGACCAAGTGAAACACCCATCAGTAGTATTTTGAATTCTCGAAAGATTTTACATTTCATTATAAAGAACTCAATAGAGCTTCATTTCATTAGGTCGAACCAGAAAGTCCACTGACAATTCATGTATATTTAATTAATTATAAAAATATACGAAAATAAATCGCTTGCACAAAAATATGTTACCCCATTATTGAAAGGTCGTAAAAAGAAAATAAAATCTTGCACATGAAAATTCTCCTATTATTTATCTATACTTTTCCTTTCTTTCTCTATCTCTCTACCATGACTCTCTTTATTCGCTGTGGTAAAATAATGAGAATTCCTATAATATTTATAGTGAAAATTCTCAATTGAATTTGTATTCAACTAGAATTGGAAAACTGTGTAATACAAAAAATTTGAATAAGAATTTATTTCAAATAATAGAATTATGATTACTATTAAAATTTATCAAAACCAATTTAAGATTACTATTAAACTTTATCCAAATCACCAAAAGATTACCACTATCAAAATCAACATTTCTCATCTCACAGGAGGATACCATAAATTAAATCATAAACTAAGTTTAATTAATTACCAATTAAAGATGACTTTTTTTTTTTTTTTTGTAAATTTTATATCCTAACTTATTTGAATTAATTTTTCTCGAGTTCATAATGCGTTATTTAATACGAACTATAAAACAAGTCCAATATTGATATGCTAAATCTCGCTCTATCAAAATTTAATTACTTGTCCCAAATAAAATTAAAATTAATACTATTTCGCTTTACCCCCTCAACTTTCAAAATATAGTATATAAAACATAAATTTTAGAGCTGTACTACCTGTACAGGCCCATTTGCACTGAGATTGTCACATGGGAGTGGATCCCACAATGCAAATGGGCCTGTGCAGGAAGCATTTTTCTAAATTTTATTCTATAAAATTTTCGGGGGGCGTTAGAGTCTTATGCTGACTATTCATGCCTGAAATGAATTCATGAACAGGTAAGGATTTGACGTGAAGATGTTGTTTCCTTTTTTTTCTTGGGGGAGCGGAGTTATCTTGCTCAATTCAACTCTTATGTTGAATGGAAACCGTCCAAATAAATATTTTTCCATGAAATTTCAAGGTTGAAGATTTAAATGTACAAAGAAAAAGGTCGAGCATTCAATTTGCAATTGATCCCATACTTTGGAAGACTATAACTGCAATTTTTTGTTGTTGTATGCATGCAAGTACAAGAGTTAAATTCCAAATAAATTTGGACATCACATCTCACACAAAAAGATTTCATCATGATAAAGAACAGCTAACTGGAATAGTCAAACAAAAATGTTCATCCTATGCAAAATCTTATAACTATAGCTGGAAGGTTCCCAACTCTTGGCCATGACGCGTAAGCTTAACTTTTCTTTCGCCAACCCACTCGAGCCTATAGGACAAATCAAGATTATGAATCAAGAGCATCAATCTGTCCATTTCACTCGAATCCTGGCCATTCCCCTGCAACATAATAAAGTGATGAATATGTACATTTGGTATTCAGGATGGAAAAAACTTTTCCTTGCCATGCCATGCCATGCCAATGAAGGAATTACTAAACGAAAAAAATAACAGAACGTAAAATTGAACTAGGCTAATGAGAAAACTTGATAAAGAGATTTTTAGCTAAGCTTCAAAATAGTGAAAGTTATTTTTAAGTAACCTTTTGTTTCCAAACATGTATGTGTACATTACTTTCTCTTACCTTTTATTAACTTACATTGAGAGTACCTCTTATTTCACTCTCAAAATAAAAACATATTTCCTACTTCGACCAAAATAAAATCAATTTATCTTTTAAAAATACTTATTTACCTATAAGTAAACTTTTTAAGCTTCCCCAAATGTATTAAAATATCAATGCCAATTATAAAAAGAAGTCAGGAAACGATGAGAGGCATTACATATATAGCCTTGACAGTGTACTGTTAGCCATTAAGAAGACATCTAGTTCAGAAAATAACCTACCGGATGAGGAGTTCTTAAATTAGTGGAAATCACTTATAAAAACTAAATATTTACATATGGTAATGTGAATCCTAGAACTTGACAAAATTGAAACAATCTATCAAATGCTCATGCATCACTAATTGCATTATAGATCAAAATATATTCTGTATTTCCTTCGTCATGCTCATTCATTTATATATTTGTTTTGGTTTAATTTCTCCTCTATTGTAGTCGTCCATCAGAAAAAATATTTTCCTAACCTACATGATGCATGAATACGCATGGATCGAAACATATAAAATGAAGCCAGAACCATATAAAATATTACCGGTGAATTGGCTTGCCTATCATTATCCAATGCACTCGCCATTATGCTGGATCTAGTAGAATTAGGTGAAAATCCCTCCCATGGGGGAACAAAGATCAGTTTCGTGCACTGTACAGGCACGGGATTTCGGCTAAGTTTCTCCCACCAAACAGATCCCAATGACCACCATCTGATCATCAAACCATTCTCAGAAAATGCAACTAGCCCCTGCAAGAGAACTGATCCTTAAAGAATTTCTAATGATCAACTTTAAATCCTTATAGAGCTTATCAACTTCAAGCATGTCTTTTTCTGGAAAGTAAGAATAGACTTATTTTTAGAATAGCAAGACTTTAAACTAAAAGTACCCCTCCCTATGCGTAAAAACTTGTAAGAAAGCCCAACTGTGTTTTGACAAAAAAATATTTTCTTTAGGCTTAACCAAAAGTGCTTGAGTCATTTCAGAAGTTTCATACAAGTACTGCAGAAGGTGTCACAAGTGAGCATTATAATGCGAAGAAATAAAATTAAAAATCCTATAAAAGGTCTACTAGGCACAAAAGCTTGTAAGCCCTAAGAACAATCTAACAAGGTCAATGCGAATTACCCTAAAGGATAATCGAAAATGAGTAAACAAAGATCTCTGAAGAGGAAAAGCATCAGCTTGGCGATATCGAAGGCAGAGACACAAATCTCTACAAGCAATCGAAGCAGAAAATGTTTGAATTAGGAAGAATCAATTGAATTAGTTTACTGATTGATACACACTTTTACTGGCCAATAGAATAAAGTAGGAATATGAAGTTTAATTTCAGATTCATTTTCGAACATACAAAATATTAAATGCCCTTCTATTAGAACGTTTAAAAAAGAAAAGAACACAAAAAATAATATAAAGCTGGTGTGAGGGAATGTGTAGGAAAAGTATTTGAGCAATTAAGGAAAAAAATGATTTCAGACGCGAAGTAAGAACTAAAATAAACTACTGACCTATGTCTGTGTACAAAATATGCATGCATGGAGGCACCATCGTTTATCAATCATATGGGTGTAAAACTAATGCTGACTTAAGATGATGTATGCAAATATCATATCCTTACAACAATACTAAACATTAAATACTAGAATCACCTTGCAACATATGGTGCAATATGTGAGACATGCTTTGCTTGAATTGCAATCTACTTATAGGCAAATTCAAATCCGTAGGGACTTACTGTAAAACAAATCTGTCGAACTTATAAAAGATAGAATGCTAGAACTTCCTAGACAGCATGTAACAAAGATAAATTACGAGCTTGTTTTATAGCAATAGTAATTAATCGTTGTTTTTTCAAGGTCATTTTTGAATTGAAAATAAGTTCGACTCTTGAAGAATGTGTTGGTTGCTTAAGTGTTGTGCACCGCATCAAATCTATTTAGTAGGGTGTTTTAATTGGAGTATCACAGTCGAACAAGTCCTGGTTGGAGCCAAGACAGGTATGCATGTCTCAAACAATTAGAGACAAACGAGCAAACGAAAAAAGAGTTCATAGTATATCGATCAGTGGTACCTCTCCATCCGGTGAAAAGCTTAGAGCTGTTATTGCAGTTGTTACAGCCATTTCCAAGGCCCCTCCAAGCAAACTTGGAAGTCCCGGAGGTCCACTTGCATCCAAGATCTTTATCTTGCTCATGCTACATGAAAGTTGCAAGTGACAAGAAGTTCAAATTGAGAAACTGGGTGAAAATCACATCTCCATGTCTACAAAAAAACATTTTGTGACATACATCCTTGCTAACATATACCTCATCATGGTCAGGCCTTTGAAGACCATTAAACAAAATAACAGTCACATACTACAGAAATAAGCACACAAAATGCTATATAGAGCTCAAGAAGGTATGAGTCAGCATCTTAGGCATAAAGAAGAAAGGGGAATCCAGAGAAGTTTTTTTATTTTGATCTCGGGCCTATATACAACACACACACACACACAAATAGGTTATTGTACGACAATCATTGCAATTGGTCATACCATCACCCTTATGTTTATGAAGGGTAGTAGCATGTCCATATTAGCCAAATTTCATGCATATTGGAAGGGTAGAATGTAACGATATATGTGCAAATTGGCAAACCCTATATCTCCAGTCCATAATTCTACTCCAGACATTATGAATCCATAATAATGCCATATATGTATATGTGTGTGTATATATATATATATATACACACACATATATATACATACGTATGTACGTACGTATACGTGTATACGTACGTATATATATATATATATATATACCTATATATATATATATATGTATGTATGTATGTATGTATGTATGTAGTTATGTATACATATATGTGTGTGTGTGTGCGCGCGCGCGCGCGCGTATTACCTTTGCATTTCATACACCCGAATACTCGAATTATTGATATCTCCAATTGCATCCCCAACAGCCAACCGGGTTGAATTATCATTTAGGGCTACCATAGGGAACATACGCACAACTTCCTTCAATGCAGCCATGGAAGTCAGAATGCAAGTTTTGCGCATGACTAGATTTCCAGGATCCATAGTCTGCAAAATGAAAGTGACCACCTGCAAACCTGTCTAGGTGTTAGAAATATAAAAAATTGATATTACTTCAATTTAAGCAGACTAAAGTATTGTAATAAAAATGCATCAATAGTATTGAACATCCTTTTTACAAGGTGAGATACCAGAGATCTGGGACTGCTGAACCAGATAAACAATAAGAGAAATTTGTGAGAGAACGATAATAAATATAATCATGTGAGTGATCAAATATTTGTTTCTACAAACCTTATCAAGGTATGGAGCTAAGCTTCTAGGCGAACCACGGACGACCCTTATCAAAGTCATGAGAGAAACCACGTGAACAGGTGAATCAGATGCAGTCGACCAGATTTGGCTTTCTATCACATGAAGAAATCCAGGTATGTCAGCCATTGCTAAACTAGGAAGAAGAATCCCAACCAAAGTTTCCCTAATGTTAAGAGATGCAGCTGAGTTTTGTGCTGATGCACCACTAACACACTCTACTTGAAAGAATATATCCCCAATAAGGCGAGGTATTTCAGAAGCGATACATGCTTTCCATGTACTCTCCATGCCTTCAGCCAGAATCTCTGCTGCAGTGCAACTATAACTTTCATTCGTGGCCATGACCAATTTCATCAACGGATGAACAACCACAATGGCAAGCCTTTGTTTCACAAGGCTAGAGTACCAGACAGCCAATGCAGCAGCAACAATTATTTGGGAAGCCCTTGCATCTTGACATGTTCCCCTTACGCAAGAAATCCAGTCTAGCATTTCATATGATTCTATCCATAAAGTTATTTCATAATCTTCTGCCTGAAACTCCCCTTGAGTTTCTATTTTCCCATCAGATATCAAAGATACAGTGGTTGGATCTTTATGTTCACTCTCTGCTATTCCAATGGGACAACTGACAAAGTTTGTGTGCTCAGTGATTTTTGGACAGCATAGTGGAAGTGGAATCGCCCGGGAAGCAGCACAGTAAAAGAGAGAGCGTGCAGCCATTTTCACATGTTCGAACTCATCTTGCCAAAAGCTTACCAGAAGCTATTGAAAAAGGAAGGGGGGGGGGTGACCATCCAATCAAAAAATATTAATCAGCAGGTATGAATTATTCTTTCCGTATCAAATCACAGATTCTCTATCAATGATATCACCCATCAGGTGTAAATTCCAACATGATGCAATGTACACAGAGTAGACAACCCACAGCTGAATGATCTAAAAAACTATAATGAATACATAAGCTAGACAGCCCAATGCTGGATGATGTAAGAAACTGTCTAAAGAGTGAATTTTGCTGGAGAAGATTTTACATATTGCATTGTTTGGATTCAAAGCATTTTATACAGTACACATTACACAACAAGCTTTTATTGTTTTTTCCCCCCCTCTTTTTGTGTTTCATTTATTGGAGTATGTTTGTGGGGCCCCCCAAAGAAAGAACAGCTTAGTGGAAACTTTATTGAGGAAACAGAATTAATACCTTGTTGAGTATTCCATTTGGCAAAATTTATAAACAGTCAAACTTAATTTTCAATCATATATTCCAATGGACACACAAATATTATCCACTTATCCACCCTCTAGTTTCTGTCTATTTATAAATTAAACCATTTATAAATTCTTCCCGAGCAGAGGCTAATACATATAACGATAGAGAAGAAAATATTTATTTACTGTAGATGTAGGCACCGTACATAGAAGGAAGATTTTTTCTTTTCTTTTATTTTCTCTAAGCATGACAACAATCAATGTTGGATTAAAGTAAATCTCAAGACATTTGAGTAATGCACTGACCACTCTTCCAGAATTTTATGATTTCACAGGAAAAGAATGGTTAAAACCAACTAAAGCCAATCATCAACAAGAATAACCAAAATCATATACATAATGTGTTACCTGAAGCAAAGGGGGCTTTATATCTGGGATCTTCTCTGCAAATTTCCTTGTATAAAATGCAGCTAATGCACTGCAGATAGGCATTACATAAATAGCCCCAGTTACCAGATGAAAATGGATGAGAGTTTGGAAGTAAAAGGTGCAAGAACCTTGCTTGTATTCCTGCGCCTCAAACGCATCTTCGAATCAAGCATATAAATAAACTCATTATGCAAGATCTTTTTAAGGTGTAAAACAATCCTTATGAATGTGGATGTGAACCCTAAGAAATTGTGTACAGACTCTATAGTGGCACCAGACAACTTTTGAGCAAAAGAATGAACTCAGCTACTCAATATATTCACCTGTGTAGCCAATTCCAAATTTACCTCAAACATAATAACAATGAAGGAAATAAGTTCACATTGAAATGTAACATCTCAAATACAATTTCAAAAAGTTCAAAACCTATCATACCTGCTGGCTGATGAACACGAGTGGGATAAGCTAATCAAGTGCTGGGCAAGGGATACCATCGTTAGTGATCTCATTGCGGAGTACACTGGTGATGATTTCCATAGCTGCAATAATAATATATCATGTCTAAGATGCAAATTGGAAAAATCAAGAACAACGCCAAACTCAATAAATTGATCGAAGTACCTCAAGAGTTGACGTTGAACCTGGAAATGTCAGTGTCAGAGATCCCCTGTCTCCGAGCAACCCAGAAGCTACAATAAAACAATCTGGTCTCTTTAGCTTCATTTCAGTAACTAACAAGTTGTCAAGCTCATGATCCACATTCCACAAGTGCAAAAATGACAAGCTAAATTGAAGTAGGCCTTCCTCAAGCAAGCGAACCCACTCATGATGTTCTATTGTAGGGGCCGAAGTCCCATCTAAAACAGAAATACTTTGCTGATTCACATGATAGGTGTTGTGCACCTCAGATCCCAGTTCCTTCAGAGGAACACTCTCTCTCATATGAGCATCATCTATGGGTGCATCAGTTCCAGCTTCTTTCACATGAGTTTTCTCTCTGATATTACTGCCACCTTTGAACAACTCAGGCTTTAAACAAAGAGACATCAAAGAAGTAAGATCAAAACACAAAGTGGCAATGCCAGGAAAAGGGCAAGAGCTTTTAATTAGGTGCTTGGCACGTTGGAAGACTGACAACGTAGGTTGAACTGATTTTGCAGCAGTTCCTTTTCTAGCATTAGATGCCGCTGAAGTACTGGGTTCAGTTCTGCTTGTAGTAACAGGGGAGATGTTTCGTGAAGAACTTGCATTTCCAAAATATTTTGAATAAGACTCTGAAAACTTTTCTTCCTCAGTTATTGGAAAATGTAAAGAGGAAGCTGAAGTATTTACATTCATCACAATGCCAGAAGGTTCATTTTTGTTGATAACCATACAGAAATGATCAAACATAGAATGAGCAGCAGCTCCGCGAAGCACTCGCTCCCGAGCACCTGTCTTTACATCCCAAATGTATAGCATGTCAAGTGCGTCCGACGTTTCTAAAGAGTTAGGGCAGAAACAGGCCACATATCCTCTTATGCCATCCCACATGACTTTTGCAGGATAGGAAGGGTGTCCAGGAAACATTCTCTCAACCCGCAAAGTCTCAAGTGAAGCAAGGGTAACAGATGAGTCATCTCCAACAGTGAGAAAGCAGTCACTCCATGGGTGTGCCGTTCGATGTGGGGGAAGAATTATTTGGCGTACTGGAGCTACATGCTGGTGCATTACCAAAATGGGATTACAAGTGTCAAGATCCCATATACGAACTGTGCAATCAATGCTTCCTGACAATAGAACATGATTCAAGCTGCATCCCCCAGATCTACTCATTATAGGGTGAGAAGCTAAACATAGAACTGCTCCTGTATGCCCTATGAGAGATTGTTTGGGTGCACATGCATCTGCTTCCTGGGATGGACTTTCATCATTTGAATCCAATCTCATAGAAAACATATTGAAACGTACCATTTCAATATCACCATTGAAGAACCCATACACGATGGCACATGGTACGAGGTAGGAATCAGATATGACCATTGAAGATGATACTGGCTGCCCTTCTTGTTGAGTACCATATCTCCAATTGCTTGTGCAAGCTCTATCTACATCGCTTGAAGAAAGAGAAGAACTTCGTAAGGTGGTCATATCATCATTCACACTTATTTCTCTTTGGCCAGCATTGATGTTTGGACCCTTAATTTCACATGAAGTGGAACTCATATCCCACACATCAAATAAACTGCCTTCACCAATCATTTCACACTCTCGACAGAGCTTCCCGTAACGTTGAGGCAATTGCCAGGCAGTAACATGAGGTTTCCAGAGTGAAGGTTCCTCACTGGAAAAGCAAATTGATTCAATGCGCAGCAGATACTTCTTGAAAGGAATAAATAAAATGGATAATCTCAAATCAGGAGGATACAATGCGGCAGGGATGGCAGCTAGACGCTCAAACACGAACATATTACATGAGTATGATATCCTGTATATAACAGCTGAACCTCTGTCATTCCATGCAGCAAATTCCTCCATAAAATCATAATTGGAATTCCAAGACTTAACTCTCATATTGGCTTCATCATCTCCGATAAACATACCACCTATTACATGCGACTTGTCTTCAAGACAAAGTTGGTCATCTGAAAAAGAAATCTTGCCAATAATAGTATCATCATCCATCAGCCTGAACGTGCAAAATGTTCTATATACAAGTGCTATCACCTGCCCACATTTTGCAAATGTCACTAGGAGTCCCTTTTCTTTTGACCCATTTACACAATTCATCAATTCCAAATGAGCAAAATCTTGTAGTGTGCCAGACTCGTTGTCCCCCTTCGATTCAAAGTTCTTCATTATAGGTAGATACTGTACCTTACCAAATGAATCAATCATCATCACTGACAATTTTTCCAACTCTCCAATGGGCACAATTATTGCCATAGACTTCAAAGGTCCAATAGACAAATTCCCATGAAAAACTGTCTGGACAATTGTAAGAGTGTACGAGTCGACGATTAGAACTGTATTCTTAGATGGTTTTCCCTGCTGTGATTCTTTGTCCTCCGAAGTCTCAGACTCTCCAACAGGATGGTCATAGTCACCAAAACAGCAGGCTATACATACAAATCTACTATCTTCAGGCAATGGTTGGAGCATGGACGGACTACCCACCCAAGGAGGCAGTTTTCTTCTACGTCTACAGTGTCCCATGGCTCTGCTCCAAACGCACAATACACCATCGGTGCATGCACTAATTAATGCACCATAGTCAACTGAGTTAGAGTTTGATAGCAAAGTACTCGGGTAATCTAACTTTCCAGTTCCCGCACTTGCAGCAGGAAAACAGATCGCTAGATCAGCTATGGAGGCAGCGTGACCGCACAATATAGCAATTGGTTTTATTTCCTGATCAGTAAGAGATAAATTAATCAAATGTCAGGCACTCCATGTGGGCAACAGACGAAATGCCACCTCCAGAAAACGAAATTGGACCGAAAAATATATAATTGCAAACTTCCACTCGTTAACTAATGTTGATACTATTAAACGCGCAATGTACAATGAATTAAGTATACATCATTCAATCCATGTGCAGAGGCCATATCGCGCAGATACCAACTTACATAACTAAAGGGCTGAATTAAGTGTACAGCATTCTATATATTTAAAATTTTATCAATTTTAATTTAGTTTACCTGTTTCTCGTGGGAGGAAATAAGGTTCCACCAGATGACGGAGCCATCGGATCCGCCGGTGTAGAGTGTCGGCGGCTGATCAAGTACGGTGGCGGCGGTGACTCTGTGAACCGGCGGCGAGGCAGACCATATGCAAGCCACCGATTTACACTTCATTACATATATGAAATTGGGAAGTAAGAATTCGATAAATTGGGACTTAGGGAGAAGGATCGAACCTGGAAGTTGAAAACGAATTTCGAGTTGTTTTTCTTGAACTAACGATTTTTATGATGTTATAACGCTTTTAGTTAAAATATTTTATGCTTAGACCCGTATGTGAGTGATTTTTCACCCAAAAATTGATTTTGTTATCGTTATTTCATTATTTCAACGGTAATTTTTTACTTCTTTTTTCACATCTGGTCCCTACTTTTTTACAAACGATCAAAAAATCAATTCTCAAAATCACTACCGAACAAGCCTTTAGTAATAAGCTAATTGCTGAAGTTTAAAAGCAGTGGACGCGTCCAATAAGGTGTCGCAAAAAAAAAAAAATTGTCAAAATCGATATTTGTAGGGACTCGTCTCGAGCGTGGCAAGGATTACACGTTTAATCTGGTATTCGAGTGGGAGGGGGAAAGGGATTTCGCCTCAATCGGATATGGGTAACAAGGACCCATCCTGTCCCATTTAACCTCCTCGTTTTATTTTTTATTAAGAATTTAATGCTGTAAATGAATAACTCCAAGAAATTTTATTAATTTTAATATAATATGACAATTAAAATTATTTAAAAAATATAATAAATAATAAAAATATTAGTTTACCAAATATATTTCAATAATTTAACTTTTAAAAATAACTAAATTGATTAAAAATTTTAATAACTATATTATTATTCCACTTTAATGAATGGGAGTAATAAAATAAATTATCGCCTCGCCATCCTGCTCGCCTCGTCTCGTCTTAAACGGATAACGTGACGGGTACGAGGGGAGGTTGTCCCGCCTCGAATCCATTATGTTGCCATCCCTAGTGCCCGTCGAATCCTTAACATGTGTTGTCATATTTTATTTTTTCAATTAATTCTAAGCTCTTGTTTGAGCTCCATTCTTTAAAAAAAAAAAAAAATATTTTGAATATTGTTTTGACATTATTTTAACTATATGTTTTTTAATAAAATAATATTACACGTAAATTCAAAATTTTTCTTTATTTTTAACTATACATTTTTCATCAATATATAATTCAAAATTATATTTTTTTTTTCTACAAAATGGATCCAAACAAGGGCTAAGTAATAAATAAATATTTCATATTTTGAAATTTATGAAATTTTAATTATAAACTTTATTGGATAGATTCATAAAAGTTATCCATTGTACAAAGAAGGTGTGCCAAAGGCATTCTAGAATCCCATATAACAGAACTCACTTTTACGGGGGTATTAATGACCCTTCATTGCCCTGAGAAATTTTACAAACTTCAGGCGCATTACTGACACGTGGTGGATTTCCAATGGCTATATCTATGGACTACGTAAGCGATTATTGCAGGTGAAAGTAACTCAGCTGACTAAATCCACGTGGGCTAAAACTATTCAGAGGGATCACGCGTACGCCATCCACACTGGAAAATACCCCACCGACGACAATACTTCGTAAAAATCATCGCAGGTCAACCCAACTTTGAGCAAAGTCTTATTTTAACCACACATTTTTAAAATTCAATTCATAATTCATCCTATGTTTAAAAACTCTCAATTCACTTTTTGTTCATATATTTCGAGGTATTCACAAATACAAATCCTTTATCAACAACTCATTTTTTTTAATTCATAATTTAAACCCTTTTTAAATAATTTCCAAACATGCTCTAATAAGAATTTATTCCAGAAATTAATGTAATTTCTTACATGACAAAGATTTTCTTGCATGAATACAATAGATGTTAATGAGACTTGTTAAATGTTTAGTTATGTAATAATCATATAATTTGATATTATGACAGTTCACATTTTAGTGTAATGTGATTCGTATTAAAATTGAGCTTGCATTGTTGTCCAATTTACCCACAAATAATGTCAAAAGGAGTCCACTAAGAAACTCTTTTGCTACATAGAAAATGAGGTTAAATTTGTGATTGAATGCTATTAGTGGCCAAACTCAAAAATAGGGTAATCGTGTTAGAATGAAAAATGATGTTTAGTGACTAAAATTAACTTTCAATGAAAGTTGGGTGACCTCCTGTGTTCTAACCAAGTCTACTCATTTTCTTCATTTCCCGAAAACTATAAATACTCTCCCTTCTGCCCCTTAATTTTTTGCCCTAGACTCTCTCTCCTCAGCCGCAACCACCTGAATTCCCTGATTTACCCCTCGAATCCTCTTCAACCTCCTCCATACCCGTGGTTATTCCGTCATTTCAGTGCCGACCAAGCTCGATAATTTCGACCCAGCAGAATTTTGATATGAATTGTTGAAAATTTGGGTTTCTTTTTTGTGTATTGTGGAGTTGAGATGAGATTAGTAAAAATTGTTTGGTTGAATTTGTGCGCGTTTGCGCGGTGGTGCTATCTGCGGTGAATGGAAGCGGCAGTGGAGGTGGTTCAGCGGGCGGCGGTGGCAAAGCTGATGGGATCGGTTGAGGGTTTTGGTGGTGCTAGGGGTGTTGTGGTGGACAAAGCCGAGGGTCCGCATAAGGAGATTGCTAGCAGTTTTGGGGTCCAAAAAGGTGGTTGCTTGAAAATAAGTGGTCGATTTTTTAGAGTATTTGTACTATTGTGTTTCTTTTAATGTGTGTCTATGATCATAGTTAAATGTGTTTTCTGGTGTATTTTCTGATATTTATTTCTTTTTTTCTTTTTTTTAGCTATTATTATTATTATTATTATTATTATTATTATTATTATTATTATTATTATTATTATTATTCTGTTTCTAGGAGATGACTTTTGAAGTTCAGGTATTCCCTTTACTTTTTTAAATTTTTAGGTAATATTATAATTTTCTTATTATAATTTTTTTTTTCTTTTCTCTTCTTTTATTAGATGACTTTTGAAGTTCAGGTATTCCCTTTACTTTTTTAAATTTTTAGGTAATATTATAATTTTCTTATTATAATTTTTTTTTTTCTTTTCTCTTCTTTTATTAGATGTCTTTTGAAGTTCAGGTATTCCCTTAACTTTTTAAAATTTTTAGTTAATATTATAATTTTCTTATTTTCTTTTCTTTTCTTTTCTTTTATCTTATCTTATTATTTTCCTTTAAAAAATTTGGGTTCTTCAGCTGTACTTGTGCGTATAGTGAAAATGTTACTCGATGATTGATTTTATGTTACCTTGCTAATTAATGTTTTAAATTGATTGCATTGTTCTATTCTGAATCTCTATTTATTGTTTGAGTTTTTTATTTTATTTTATTTTCTTTTGAAGTTCAGATATTCCCTTAACTTTTTAAAATTTTTAGTTAATATTATAATTTTCTTATTTTCTTTTCTTTTCTTTTCTTTTCTTTTATCTTATCTTATTATTTTCCTTTAAAAAATTTGGGTTCTTCAGCTGTACTTGTGCGTATAGTGAAAATGTTACTCGATGATTGATTTTATGTTAACTTGCTAATTAATGTTTTAAATTGATTGCATTGTTCTATTCTGAATCTCTATTTATTGTTTGAGTTTTTTATTTTATTTTATTTTATTTTTTGGAGACATTGGATGATTTGCCAAGCATGATACTTTGAGATAAAACTTTAAAAATATGTATAGCATTTCTTAGTTTTTCATTGGGCTAGTGGTAGGAATTCCAGTTAATGACTACAATATGATGCTTGTATTGTAAGTTTATCATTGAAGAAAACTGAAGATGACTGTCAAATGTAGAATGTTAGCCTTGCTAATGGTTGTATCGGCTCCGAGAAAGTTGCTTGAAGATTGTATTCACGTAACTGTATTAGTATGATAAGGTTTTAACTTTGAGGACTGGAGAAACTGCAACGGATTTAAACATTTGGGAGCTAAGAACTAGTACTAGAAGGAGCTTAAATAGTAGCCTTTTTTTTTGTCATGCTCTTTATGTTGTTCGTCACGTCAATATTAGCTGAAATTTATAACATAAGAGTCCTTTAACCTTTTTTTATTTCTTTTTCTTTTTCTGAGCTTCATCTGCCATAATGTTGGAATGCTTTACCTTCTATTAATTGTTATTTAATGTGAAAATTGTGACAAGAAAAGATGAAGATATGCATGAGCAATGAGTGAGCCGTTGACTTTATCTGTTTTCCCAAGTCGGTATCATCTTACTGCTATTTTCTTCATTCTTAATCACTCTTCTTGGAGCATAAACTACAGAATTTTAATAAAAATTGTAGTGGGTAAAGCCTTATTTCCTTAAAATTTTGCTTAATTAATTTCTTTTTTTTTTTTAGAGGAGAACGGGTAGTATTTAGATTCATGGGGTGGCTACCTTTAAATGTGAATGATTGTATATCATGAATGGTTTGACAATGTCTACTGGGGACCATGATGTAGCTCATTTTAATTCTTTTTCTGTCCTTTCTTTTCTTGGTTGTTCTCTTGATTTTCTCATCTTAAGATGTTGATATAGAAATTGCTTTTATTACTTTTGAATTTGTGTGTAATGCATTTCCCTGAACTCATTGTTTTCATGGAAGCAATATAGTTAAACCATCCGAAGTCTACCAATCCATATATGATTATACGCTAACTTTTGTAACTCATGGTTTCTTAAAATATGATTATGTCAATGAAATTCGTGCAGTTAATGCATCTACACCAGTTCTTTGGACCAAGGTGCCTGATTCTGAACTTCATAGGCAGGCCAGTCCAGTTTCAGGCTTTCCCAGTGATGACACCCCAAAAGACTCTGGGTTTAGGAGCATAACTTCTCTTTCTTTGAAGTCAGAGCCAGAGGATAAACTTTTGTCACGGAAATCAGGGAAAATATCAAGAAATAACAGTGGGTGCACTAAGAGATCCCGGATGGCACGGATAGAAGAAATCATTCATGTGGTGATGTGCAAAGGTTCTTGAGCTTTCTGTTTTACTTCCATTCATAGCTGCATTTTCAGTTTTCTTAATACAATGTGTTCAAGTTTGTACCCATTTGTTGCATTTCAACGTTCAACCTAGATTTGCATAATATTTCTCTAAATTTATGGGTCGGTCCTTCAAGTTTCGAAGTGCAGCCTGAACTTGCAATTTGAAGCAAGTGCATTTAATTCAGGTAAGAAAGCAATGCGCCTATTTTGCTTCCCTTTTTTTTTTTTTTTTTTTGGCATATCTCCTCACTAATTGATTAGTAAGAACTGGTAATTTCTACTCATTCACCAGATATTGATTACAGATAGGAATTTTTTTTTACTGTTCATCCCGCAAAAACATTTCAAGTTCTTTTCATTCGCTTGAGAGACTGCTAAAAGAGATCGCCTTTAAAGCATTTTCTAGGTGGGAATTCTAAGTTTGTTGGTTTGAGCTTTCAGTTAGTGTCTATACTAAATATAAATGCTGAGAGGAAAATGTTAATGCTCTTTCTAAGTATCAGCGGAGGTTTTCCAAACAAAATAGGCAAAAGTCTTGCATTCGAATTTCCTAAGGACGCTGGAATGTTGGAATCTGGAGCCCCTTTCACATTAAGGGGAGGAAAAATGAAAAACACTAAGGATTGATATCTCCTCCCTTTTCCGCACATCATTGCCATTCTCATATTCTTTCAGTTAAGCTCTCAGAAGAATAACATACTTCCCAGATCTTGAGTCCTGTTTAGACAGAAGTATCACCATAGATACCTGACGAGTCTAAATCTTGTCATCTTTTCTCTTTCTTTTTTTAAATTGTTTTAATTTCAGGTTTCTTGTGCCTGTCAAAAGCAATAATTAGACTTTGTGCAACTGCAAACTGATTTGACGACATCCATTACCACTTTCCTATATTTGCACAAGTTTTGGTAGCTCCATTCACAAGTTTTGTCTAAATTGTGGGGATTCATTTGGTACTCAATCTATTTAATTCAAAACTTTCTATTTTCTCTAAAACGCTTAATAAAAAACTAAGCAGAGGACTAATTTGCTGGTTATGTGACCATGCCTGTACTGGAAAAATCTTAAACTACAAGTTAAAGGCACATGCATATTATGAAAAGATAAGATCTAAACAATGGAACCAATAGGAGCTGTTTCCTGTTGCACTCTATTTTCTTTCCATTTAAAACCTTAATTTTATCGGTTCGCATCAGAAATATCATTAATAATATTTGAAATGTTAAATTATTTGGTTGAAGGACAAAAAGTTTAAAAATATAAGAGAGAAGATTTTTAAGCATCTACTATACCGGGAATGTCGATTTTATTGCTATTGCTTAGGATACCCTTTTTTAACTTTAGAATTCTCATGGAATTTTACTTTCTAGTAAGGGTCTCAAATGTCTCTTTTAATCATTAAAGCCCTGAGTGTTGACCAGAGTTTGCTTGATTTGAGTACTAATGCTTAATAGTTCCTGGAAAACTTGAGAGCTCAAAGTAACTTCAAGTATGGTGTTCTGCCAAATGAGTCAAATCTGCTCATTCATTAATTGATACTGCTTATGCTTAGTTGTCATCAAATCTCATTACAAGAAATTAAAGTTTTGCATTTTCATCAGCTTTCGCTCCAGGTTTCTTAATTTTAGATTCTGGTAATCTGCTTTCGTTTATGAAAGCAATTTGTTGTTGTCAGTAACAATGATGTATCCCGTCCATAAGTTGGTGAGTACAGGTTTGAATAATGCTAGATATAGCTAAAAAAACATTTCATTGGTGCACTTTCAACTTAGCTGGAGTTCATAGCAACGATATGTCGGAGAAAAAAAGAGTATTTTGTATTGTGCTAGTGATTCTGCTTCACATTTGTGAAATTTGGCATTAAAACCTGTTTGACTTGTGTATTTTGTGTTTTGAAAAGCTAGAAACTCTCTCGGCTCATGCACTTATAGTATTTTTATTCCCATTCCTGTCATAGAGAAAACTCAAGTGGCCAAGCAAAAGAACGGTTCAAATGGCAAACGTGGGAACAAAAGAAATAGGATGGTTCCCAAGAGTAGATGTGATCCATTGTCTCTGAAGAATGGCTTTATTAACTTCAATTATGCTGCTGGAGGCAACAACTTTTTTGGTAATTAGCGACTAAGCTTTAGCATTTTTCTTCTTGGAATTTTCATTTCAATGAACATGCAAAAAGATCATTTATTTTTGGCCATTGTTTTAAAAGTTTCAAGTGTCATCACTGTAAGAATTAATGTGAATAACTGGAATAGTAAATATGGGGAATCCTTTGCAATGAGGTTTGATAGAATCCGATTTTTAATCTGGATGAAGATCTTCTTTCGGAAAAATTGAAAATAAGTCAACTGTCATTCATTGAAGTTATCATGTACGCTTCAAAGCAAGACACGACAAGTTAATGCTTATACCCAATACATTTGGAGTTGACCCTAAATCCATTTTCCCATATATGTTTCAAATATATGACTGTTTGACAACTTGAAAAAGAAATTTGCATGCAAAGAATCTCATGTAACCCCACAATCCGAAATGAAACAAACAACTGAAAGAGAACTAGAGAAAATAAATATCAAGCAAATTGTTGCCAAAATATGTGTTTATTCATGCCAAAGCATCCTGCTAGAGAGAAATTTATTTTCCAACCAACATCTCTTTCTGTGGATTTTCAAATTTATCATAGAACCAAGCACCCAGCATTTAATCAAGAGAGGAACAGATCCAAGAGGCGTTCGAAATAAGCATGCACTTTTTTTTTTTTTTTTTTACCTAGATAATGAAGGAGTATGTCAAAATTGTCCGTTTTAATCAAGTTTACGTTTTTTTTTTTTTTTTTTTCAAAAGAAAATGCCATTCTTGTAAGATTCGAAATTTTGCCCCCTTACTGCAATGTTGGAGATAACTTTATAAATTGTTCAGGTTAAAGAGTTCTTTTCTTATTGTACGGAAATGATGGATATAGTTCACAATGTTTCTGGTGGCAGTTGGGCCTAAATTCATTTTATGTGATAGAATGAGGCCTCATTGATGGTTGAAGCAATTAAGTGAATTTTTTCAAGGAATTATCACGAAATCATGTTAAAGCATATATTTTGTCACCAAAAAGATAAAATAATAAATAAATAAATAAATCTGCCTTCAATAATCGGAACTTCTTTATGTATATCTACAGTATCTCTTTTTGTTTAAAGAAGTTGATATGCATATCATTCTTTTTGGGGTTGTGGAACTGTTCCTAGTTATGAGAGAGAAATGTTGTCGTGAACTCAGTTGGGTAAACTGCATTGTTTGATAGATTCTCATTTCGCAGTAGAAATGGTTATATTCTTAATAACTCTGCAAAACTTATCAAGTCAGTTTCTTCCATTTAGTTTTCACCTTTCCAACATAATTTTAATATGATGCATCATCTCTATAAGATGTTTCAGTATTGCAACATTTTACTTTCTTATTTCAGCCTGTTAATGGTATGCATTATGGTGGACACGGCGCACTGGTTGTAATGCTTTTGAAACTGGTCTCAAAATGTATTTCACTTGTGCTGCTGCATTTCCATGGATACTGATTACCGTCTTCCCCAAGTTGCCAAATTCTAATTTAAAGTTGGACTGGTTTATCAAGTCATTTTTTTCTTTCAGCATGGTCTTCTGCAGATGTTCGACCTTTTAATAGCTGATTCAACATATAGTAATAACAGTCCTGTTATGAAAATATTGCAATAGCTGATTCAACTAAACAATGGCACGTTTACATTTTGGAGACTTCATGCATCAATTTATGTTCTCAAGTGGATTTATTAACAAGAAGTTTCCAGAATTTGGCAACAATGCTAAGATTTTAATTCGACATGCTCAATCTTAAATATGATTTTGGATTATTTATTTATTTATTATTATTATTTTTTTTGAGGCCGCCTGAAATTGTTATGATGTGGTGTTCTATTGATTACCCTCGCATAATATAGAGTATGTAATCTGATTTTTTCAGCTAATGACAGTTTCAAGTTTCTGGTTCAATGATATAATAACGTTCAGTGGATAGTTTTTGCACGTCCAGAATGGCATTTTCTTTTGTTTGCATTGTCTCTAATATGTTCTCTTTTATCACTAATAGAAAATTTTGTAGTCTGATTTACATGTGTGTGTGTGCATTATCAGATTTTAAGCAGTTAATATTTGGTTGAAGACTATTTGTGAAATGAATGATCTGACTACAGACAATTTATTCAGGTCTATATGGTTTAAAACCTGATGCTTTTGATATCACAAAACATGTCAATGAGCTGTCTTTGAATGAGCTCCTTGATGGCAGTTATAACTGCCCTAGTATTACCAAAGACAAGGGAAAGAAAGCTGCGAATTTGAATAATAATCTTTTGGATTCGGTGAGAAATGCCTGTTCTGTCCTTCGGCTCCAAAAGGCGGTTCTTGCCCAGAAATGTGTTGAAAGTGACAACAGTAACAGTTCAACAGGATTGCCGATTGCTGGCTCTACAGCTAGCCAGTCTGATGGTGATAAAGAAGATTCTTGTACTGCAGATTTGACATCCTCTGACAAGGTTAGTTTGAACTCTTGATATACGTGGAACTATGCTTAGCTGGTGAGGAGCACCTAAAGATGGGGTAATAGTAAATGGATGACCAAGGTTATGCAGATCAATAGAAGCATAATCTTGTTGATCAACTTGACCCTCTATTAATTGTTTGGCAGGATTTCTTAAACTTTACAGTCTGCCGATATTCCTGTTTATACCTAGTAAGCCTATTGGTTTCTGCACTATGCTTCACAGTAGGTAAAAAGGCTGTAGGATAATTTTTTAGCTGCAGTTTGGCTGAATTCCTTGAGTCCATGAATTCTTACCATTGAATATTCTTTGACTTCATGTACCGCAAGCATCATTTGTAAGTGATCATAGCCAAAATCTTATGTATATCTTCAATTCGGGATAAACATCAAATGTAAAGCTATTGTTGCTGTCATTGTGATGATGTTTGAGTAATGCCCATAATATGTGAAGGAACAGTGGCATATTCATATATTGTGGAGCATAGAATATCAAATGTGATGGTATTGTTGCTGGCATTATGAGTGTTTGAACAGTGATGCCTAGAATATACAAAAGAAGCCAGTGGCATACTCACGCACTTTGAAGGATTAACACTTCTAGGGTGGAAAGTCCTGTCCGACACATATTGGGCAACCACAGTCTGCAGATACTCCTGAAGGTGGCGTCTTGCGTCCTGTATTCCATACAGATTCCCATGTGTCCTTTACCCACTTCTTTTTTCAAAAGTTGTGTCGAAATGTCCATGTCCCACATCCGTGTCCGTGACTCCTAGCTCAAAAGGTATAAGTTCGTAATTGATTTTGACATTTTGAATAACCAATTAGCTTTGATTGTTTATAAAGGTTTAGGGATCTTGCTGCCAGAAAGAGATTCTTCCGATATTGCTGCATTAAGATTTCGTAGAGGGTAGTAGCTCCCGAAGGAAGAACCCGCACCTGTGTGATGGAGCTCCCCTCCCTAATATCCAAATCCACCACCCATCATGCTGTTGTCGTTGGCGATGACAACATAATGTCGCCCGGTGAACCCAAAAAAATCGGCCTCACGCCACATAACGAACCACAATCGCAGGCGACGACCCTGGGTGTAAACCTTAGCACCGTCGCCCGATCTATTGTTTTACCTGATGATCCAGCCACATTTGAAGCAGGTGACGATGACTTTGGCGGATGGCGAGTGTTCAACGGCAGAAACTGACCTGGGATTCGAGCCCAGATGCCTCTAGATCCTCCACATTTCCGGCCCACGCGCCTGATAGGAGAGCGGGTCAGGTCATTTTGACCATGCGGGAGAGGCGGCGTGGTGGACACGACGATCTGGGCACGCGCTTGTTGGCGCATGGCGCCCACGCGCCGTCGCCGATGAAGGCTCAGATCGTGCAGACTTCACCCAGGACTATTAACTATCCTATTTCTTCGTATGATGCTTCGGTTGCATGGAATCTAGGGAGACAGAGGGTTCCTAATGGCATGTTGGTGTTCAGCTCCAGTTTCAGAATTGAGAGAAAACAGATTGTTGTGTCTGTCATTGATTCGGGCATGTTTAAGATGTCACAATGGGGATCTAAGATCTCCAGTGCTATTCACATGGGAAGATTTGGGCTGTTTGGATGATTAATATGATGGATAAGTTAAGGATGGCTAGTGTGTCGGAGGATTTTGTAGCCAAATTTAATGAGACCCCCCGAGCGTTTTTGGCACAAGGATGTACTAACAGTCGTGAAAGGTATCTCATAATAGTGCAGTATAAGGAGCGACGTTGAAAGGGTGTAGTGATGGTACCTGAAGGGTGTAATGGAGAGGGATGGGCAACGATCTCACGCGTGTTTCAAGCAGTTATAGAATCATTTGTTGCCGAAGATAAGGCCAAGCATCTAGTAGTGGAAGATCAGAGCCTGCAAGGGATGGCCTATGCTGTAGTTACAGCACATGCCTCTTAGAATGCTGATCAATGGGTACGGATGCAGAAGGATAAAGCGGTAAATGAGAGGAGTGATCCACGCGGGTGAAACTGGGGACCAAACAAGGAAAGCCATTTAACGGCGCATAAGGACAGCAATAAGACTACAGAAGGAACGTCTGATATTTCTGCAAACTATGCTGACATAAGGGTAGACATAAAGGCATTGAAAGGGGAATTGGATGAACTGATGAGGTTATTGGATAGCAGGAAGACAATGGGTTATAGGCAAACGTATTGTAATGCGTGTGGAGTGGGCTTAGATGATGTGTCTAAGGAGTTGAAATCGAAGAGGGCCCACATTACAGAGGTGATGGCTGAGCCAAGTGGCGTGGCCCAAGTACAAAGCAGAGGGGCGGAGGTGGAAGTAAGGGATAAGGAAGGGGAACCGAGTTTGATGAATTTGGAGTCAGAGAGACCGGATGTGGCAATTGAGAAACAACAAGGGGCAACAGGTTTGGCAACGATGGTCACGAATACCTACTGTAGGAGATATTCTAAGTCTAACAGGTTTGGCAACGATGGTCACGAATACCTACTGTAGGAGATATTCTAAGTCTATAAATGAGGGGGAATCAGGGACTGATAAAGCGCTGGTTGGGTGGGTGGAGGGCGCCTGAAAGGAGGATATAAATAGGGATGTAGTTCGGGTGGAGGAAGAGGACTTACAATATGATCAGTTTTCCTCTGGGGAGGTAGTGGAAATAAGTGAGCTTGTCATTAGACCACCACCATCGAGCTGGGCTCTTCAAAAAATTTTGGACTTGAGCAAAATGGTGGGGGTATCCCGCAACGGGTATGAACATAAGCTCTTGCAATTATTTGAGGAGTTGGAGGCGAGCAAGGGACAAAAGAAGGATACACCAGGAGGTAAGACAAGAAGAAAGGGTGACCGTGAGCTTAAAAGGCTTGATTGCTTGGTTAATTATGACATAAGGAGTGGTGAGTCAAGAAGAGGATTGATGGGGAGGGATGACGGTGCGTCAAAATGATCCAAAAAATAGTTAGCTGGAATGCGAGGGGGCTTAATGAAGCTGGTAAAAGGTTAGGTGTTCGAAATCTCTTAAGGGGTTTGAAGGTTGACATTGTTTGCTTACAGGAGACAAAGTTGGAGACCGTTTCGAAGGGTGTTGTAAGTAGCCTATGGGGGGACAGCATGTTGGGTATCAATTTGGGGGGTCATTGGGGGCTTTAGGAGGGGTGCTAATTATGTGGGATACTAGAGTCTTTCAGTTGGAGGAGGTTAGTGAAGGGCTATTTTCCCTATCCCTTTCATTTACAAATATTGGGGACAGATTTCGTTGGATGTTTATAGGAGTTTATGGGCCTAATGTCAGTGAAAGTAGATGCGGATTGTGGGATGAATTGGCAGGTATGATGGCTTGGTGGAACCTCCCAACATGCATAGGGGGTGACTTTAATGTGGTCCGCTTTCCTAGTAAAAGGTCTAGCGGCGGGAGACTAACGGGGGCTATGGAGGACTTCTCGGATTTTATCAGGGAGAATATGTTGGTGGATATGCTTTTGATGGGGGGAGATTTTACTTGGTCATCTAATTGGGAGCTACCTATTCATTCTAGAATTGATCGGTTTTTGATTAGTGTGGAGTGGGAGGCTAAGTACCCAGACGTCGCTCAGAGGAGATTAGGGAGGGTGTATTCAGATCATTTCCCAATTTCATTATTTGGGGATGTGGGATATAGCGGGAGAAGGCCTTTTAGGTTTGAAAAGATGTGGCTTAAAGCGGACGGTTTTGGGGAGCGAGTATGGACTTGGTGGGCCTCTTACAAGTTTAGGGGGTCCCACAGTTATGTGTCGGGTCAGAAATTAAAGGCTTTAAAAGGAGACCTCAAAAGGTGGGATGAGAAGAAGGTGGGGGATGTTAACTGGCGTAAAAATCAATGCACCTCAGAAATAGAAGAATTGGATAGGAAGGAGGAAAGTCGAGGATTGGGAGGGGACGAGAGGGAGCGACGTCAAGAATTAAGGGGAGAGTTGGAGAGGTTGGTGGAGATAGAAGAGATTTCTTGGTGCCAGAAATCTAGGGTCAAGTGGTTGAGAGAAGGAGATAAGTGTACACGGTTTTTCCATAGGGTGGCCAATTCAAACAGGCGCAACAATCGTATCTCTATGCTGGAGGTGGATGGGGTAACTTATGAGGACCCACAGGATATTGGTACCCAAATGGTGAGTTTCTACCAAAACCTTTATAAGGAGCAGTTTGATTGGAGGCCAGAGCTTGAGAGGCTAGAGTTTTCCACTATTTCTGAGGAGGATGTCAGTTGGTTAGAAAGACTTGGGGAGGACGAGATTAGGGAGGTGGTATTCAGTATGAATGATGACAAGGCCCTAATACCGAACGGATTTTCCTTCGCATTCTACAAGGCTTGTTGGGATGTGATATGATCGAACATTGTGGATGTTTTTGCTTACTTTTTCCAGTGTAACAGATTCTTGAAAAGCTCTAATACCACATTTATTGTGCTGATCCCAAAAAAATCAGGAGCGACAGACATTAAGGACTTTCGACCTATCAGTTTAGTAAGTGGGGTGTATAAGATTATTGGAAAGGTTTTGACTAATAGATTAAAGGAGGTGCTGGAAAAGGTGGTATCTAAATATCATAATGCTTTTGTCAAAGGGCGACAAATCTTGGATTCTGTTCTCATAGCAAATGAATGCATTGATTCAAGACTGCGTTAAGGGGGATGCTATGTAAACTTGATATTCAAAAGGCCTATGATCACGTGAACTGGGGTTTCCTATTGTATATGCTCAGACGATGTGATTTCGGGGCCAAGTGGTGCCAGTGGATTCAATTTTGTATTTCTACTCTCTTTTTCAATTCTAGTAAACGGCACTCCTGAAGGTCATTTTCGGAGTAGTAGGGGTTTGCAACAAGGGGATCCTTTGTCTCCATTACTATTTGTTATTGTAATAGAGGCATTCAGTAAAATTGTTGAAAAGGCTGTGGGGGAAAGTTTGTTAAAGGGCTTTAGGATTGGTCAACTGCAGATATCTCATTTGTTATTTGCAGATGATACTCTGATCTTTTGTGATGCAGACGTTGAGCACTTCAGGAACTTGCGTGGTTTGCTTCTGTGCTTCAAAGCCATATCTGGAATGAAGATAAATTTGGGGAAATCTGAGGTCATCACTGTTGGAGAGGTCGATAATGTGGAAAGGATGGCTGCTACATTGGGCTGTAGGGTTGCGTAGTTGCCTATGACATATCTTGGGCTCCCATTAGGAGCAAGGTTCAAAAGTACACACATCTGGGACAGTATAATGGAAAGGGTGGAGAGAAGATTAGCAAGTTGGAAGCATATGTACCTTTCAAATGGAGGTCGCTTTACTCTTATCAAGTTTACTATCTCGAATCTCCCCACTTATTTCTTGTCTTTGTTTCCCATTCTTGTTACAGTGGCTAAGAGACTAGAGAGGGTCCAAAGGGAGTTCCTTTGGGGAGGGTTAGGAGAGGAGAGGAAATTTCATTTGGTAAATTGGGATGCAGTTTGCTCTCCCACAAGGGTCGGGGGACTCGGATTGAGGAGCCTTGTATTGTTTAATAAGGCCTTGTTGGATAAGTGGTTATGGCGGTTTGGAATGGAGAGGGAGAGTTTCTGGAGAGAAATTATAGAAGAGAAATATGGCATTTTGGAGGGTGGATGGTGTTCAGTTGAGAGCCGTGATACCTACGGGGTGAGTTTATGACGGTATATTCGACAAGGGTAGAGTGACTTTCGGAATAGAGTGACCTTCGATGTGAGGAATGGCAATACTATCAGCTTTTAGGATGATTGTTGGTGTACTGATCAACTGTTAAGGGAGTGATTTCCTTCTTTGTATCGTATTGCCGTGATGCCATCTGCTATAGTGAATGATGTATTAGATACACATAACGGGAGATCAGCTGGAACATTGTTTTTAGGAGGGGACTACAAGATTGGGAAGTGGATGATTATGCAGTTCTTTTGACCTCTTTGTATGAAGTGCATATCAAGGTAGGAGAGAGTGACCTCATCAGGTGGATGTCGACAAGGGATGGCATTTTCTCAGTTAGCACTTATTTTAGATCCTTATTTGGATCTGTGGAGAATTTATTTCCTTGGAAGATGGTATGGAAGTGTAAACTGCCTCCAAAGGTGGCGTTTTTACTATGGACGGTAGTGAGGGGACAAGTATTAACGGCGGACAATCTTCGATTGAGGGGGTTTTATATTACAAATTGGTGTCATATGTGCAAAACGGATGGGGAAACGATTGACCATTTGTTCCTGCATTGTGATGGCGCTCGTTTGCTGTGGAATGATATTCTGGCTTCTCAACATATGGATTGGGTGATGCCATGGCGTATGGAAGATATGTTGAAGGCATGGAGGAGAAAGTTTCGTGACAAGAACAGTGAACTTATTTGGGACATTATTCCAGGCTGGATTGTTTGGTGCACATGGAGAGAGAAACGGGCGCTTTTTTGATGATCAGATAAAGACTTTAGAGCAGTTTAAAGAATTATTTTATTTGACATTATATAATTAGTTTAATGCTCAGCTTCTAGTCACATAGATGGATTGTCTAATTTCATGACGTTTATTTCTTGTTTAAGCATATAATACACTTCCTGTGTATCACCTTTTGATTAATAAAACATTTGATTACTTATCAAAAAGGGATCTTGCTGCCAGATCATAACGTTAGCAGTTGTATTGTTGGCATTATTTGATCTTTTGACAGTGCATACAACATGCCTAAGAACCTGGTGGAATACTTGTATGCAAAAATAACTTCTAATTGGTCTTGAAATTTTAAGTAATTAATTGAGCTCCTTGCAAAGGTTCAGGAATCTTGTGAAGAGAAGATCAAAACATCCACTTTAACTGTCGAATCACCACTATATAATCCAAAAGAAGTCTTGGAGCGCCTTGCACTTCCTCCACCAAAGGATTTACATTCTTTACTTCTTGATGCTGCCAAGCCTTCTTCAAGAAACAATACTGATCCCCGTTTAGGCAAGTCAGTTTGTCACAGGACTGGCTTACCACCTTTTCCATGGTCACATACTTTCTCAGGGCACAATAAATCAGTTACTGATGCAGCTAAAGTGTCCTCCAGTCGGACCATATGCCAAGGTAGATGGGTAATAGTAAAACATATTTCCTCTCTTCAAGAAGATTCCACTGGCTTCCTCAAGGGCTTGGAATCACTCACATACAATCACAGTTTAGTTCCTACAGTAAATCTCAAGTCAGGACTTCCAGAAAATGAAGTTGCTCAAATTACGTCCTCTGAACGAGTTTCATCCATGTCTGAAGCATGCTCAAGTTCCAATGTTTTTCCAGGTAAATTTTATTCAAGGTCTAGTTGCAATTAGTTGACTTCCTATTTTGAGTTTCAATATGTTCACTTATATTGTTTGCTTTTTCTTCACAATAGACGACTTTTTTTAAAGGAATTGTTTCAGATAAATATGTTGAACCAAACAAGTGGAATCATCGAGAACAGTGTATTACCATCATAATATACGTGTACCATGTTTGTTTAAGCTTAAAAGTTTACTTACACAAATTTATAATTAAAGAAGTTTTAAAATAAATAAGTTTTTTTGATAGGTCAAAGCATTTTGATTGTCATGTTAGATGAGCATGTTTCGGAGTTTTTTAATTTATACACACTTTAGGTCAAACCTACTTTTTATTCATACATTTTGTGGAATCCACGACTCGTTTTTATCTATTTATAATTTAAATCGTTTATAATCACCTCCAAACGCGAGCTTCCTTTCATATTAACATTTGTTTACATAAAGAAAAAAGTTTACTAATAACTTTTTCAAATAATTTTTTTATTGGTCAATGTTGGAAATTAGTTGTGTATTTTGAATCTTGATGGAAAGGTAACAGTTACTTATTTAACTTTTCTTTTTTTTTTTTTATATAATTTTTTTATTGGTCAATGTTGGAAATTAGTTGTGTATTTTGAATCTTGATGGAAAGGTAACAGTTACTTATTTAACTTTTCTTTTTTTTTTTTTTTATATAATTTTTTTATTGGTCAAGGTTGGAAATATTAACTGTGTTTTGAGTCTTGACGGGAACGTAAGAGTTACTTTCAAATTGATGTTTTTTACTCGAAAGTAAGAAAAAGTAAGTTCTCCAAATATGTTCCTTTATTTTGCAAGCTCTAGCCCAACATGCCTCATTTTTATGTGACCAACTGTTTGGACAGCTGAGTTTCTATTGTCATAACTGAATGTTTTAGATTCTTGAACTGACTGATTGTCGAAAACATTTTTGTTCTTTTCTCTATTTGCCATATTTTCAGCAGTTACAGATGAGCACCCTCCATCACACCTAGCTGCTGCTCAGATGCTGTGTGAGATGGCAACTCATTCCTTTAAGCAAAATACATGTGGAGTGACAAAATCACTGAAAAAGCCTTCTCAAATGTCCAAGAAAACTTGCAAGTTGAAATCTGTCAAATCTGAAATATTATTTGCAGCACCAAAACCAAAGACGGGACTCGACAATTTGGTCAAGGTCAAAGGCACTGATTATGGGTTTCCCTCGAAGAAGCTTAGGCTCTCAGCAGATGTAAAGAATGAGTATATTGGTCGTACAATGTCAGGAAGCAAAGAACCGTTAAACTGGTCTGCTCTACGGTCTATCAAATCCTCACCTAGCAAGCTATGTAGGAAGTAAGCTGCAGAAACAAAAAATTACAATCCCAACTTTGTAAAGAAATCATGTGGGATTTCACCACTCTTGGGTCGTGGACAAACCTCGTAGTAGTAGAGGAAGGTGGACCAGCGGAGTGGAATTGGGCAGATGGCAAGATGGAATACTCAAATAGTGTTAATTCGTAAAGTTGTTGCTGTTACAGTTAATATTAAACTGTTAGGTTTGTATATATTGTCACATGTAGGGTATGATTTGATGTCACTTGATGGGATTTAGGTTTTAATGTTGTAACATTACTTGCCTTTGTGTAGATCATTTGATGAGGCAAATGGAAGAATATATATGTTCGCAATTGTCTTCTCTTGTATAAACTTCCCCGTTTTGATTCTCTTTATTTCTTATTTTCAATCATAAATTATTTTGTATGTAAATTCAAATTTATTTATTTTTTGACCTTTTAACTACACGTTTTTCGAAAATTTACTATTGAAAACATTTTTTTTCCTTGAATTTTCTTTTTAATGACCATCAAACAGGTATATTTTCAGTTAGATAGGCAAACGAGCTAGAGATCAATGGATGAACTATGTTATGGCTGTAGGATACATTTTGTGTTACAAACAATGAGGTTATTTTATGTTTTCCAAATTACACGCAAGGAAAAGTTGTAAAAAAATGCTAAATGGCCCAGGCCCTATGAGATTTATACTGTTCATATTAGTTTTTTATTTTTTATTTTTATAATTGAAGTATGTTTATCATGGATTTGTCCCTACTCATATAAAAAATTGTGGCTGTAACTGCATTTACTATGTTAAGGCCTTGATTGTTTTTAAAAATTCATTTTCAACCACTCGACAATTTTTATCAATTTTTCAGTCACACATTTCATGAAATTTTTAAACAAGGATTAAGTAAACAGTGAACACGAGAATTTGTCAAAAAATTGATTGTCGATATATAAGCATTCTAGATGTATTCTTGGTCAGCTAATTAGACAAATGACACTAAATAAATAGAATAAAAATTACAAAGTTCATAAATTGGGGATGTAGCTCAGATGGTAGAGCGCTCGCTTAGCATGCGAGAGGTACGGGGATCGATACCCCGCATCTCCACTTTTTTGGGTATTTTCCAAAAAAATTTATCAGCCAACCACAAAATTAATGGTATTTCCAATTTTCGCCCATTATTTCGTGAAACTTTAGAAATTAAGTCCAAAATGAAAACATTTTTATATTGGTTGCCTGATCAATTGGTCTACATTAAAAATGTATGTCATATCCATGCCCAAATTATCTGTTATAAAATCTTATAATTTTTTAAACATTTTGTCCATAAAATACAGTACTCCATACGTATTTTCTTTTCTTCCCATTGAAAAAAAAAATAAAAAATAGTGAAACCGTAAAAGCGCCTTAGCAACAATGATGTAGACTAATAAAACGGCACTAATAAAAAAACAGATTGAAACTTGAAAGCTAAATAAAAAGATGAAAAATAAAACAATTGCTTAATTAAGAAAATTTACACAAAAATCCGTTAACGAACCAATTCTTATAAATAAACTATTGATTAAAGCATATTACATCAAGTTAAAATCAGCCAAATAATCATGAAATTGCGTGCACAGCTAGAAAATTTTTGTTAACACTGAGTCTTGACTCTTGAAGGTTTTTTTTTTGGGTGTGTCTGTGTAGACTGTAGAGTAGCATCTGGTGTCAATGCCTATTTTAGAAAACTTGTTGCCTATTGAAAAGGAAACTTCCAGTGAGCTTCGCAAACTAGGATTGCGAATGGAGATCGGACATTTTTAAAGTATGAAAATTTGTAGCAGCAATTGTAAAAACTTGTTTCATAAATTATAACAAAAAAGCCAAATGGGCAGAGTCAAAAATCGACCCAAAATCAGGGCGCTTGCTCAATACGAATTATTTCATCCTAAGTTCTAACCCAGAGACGGATTTGGGGGGGGGGGGGGCTAGGCTGTAGCCTCCCTACTCAGGCCCAATAGCTTCTTTTTAAGGTATTTTTTATTTTATTTTTTTGGTAAAAAACCAGTTTTTTACGTGTAAAATTTTTTTCTCACATAGTAGCCCGATTTGAAATTTTGTAACCTGATCTTGTATCCAGTTTTGAATCTGTCCCTGTTCTAACCGGATCTTTCTGTATATTTTTTGTCTGCAAAATATTTTTGTTAAGAAAATAGTCAAATTGTGAATTTAATTTGAAGTTCATTGAAAACCATCAAATCATGGTCATCTTTAAAATCCAAAAGACACCCACAAAACTGGCTTACTGAAGAAAGATGAATAGATTCGAAGAAATAATGTATTTGCTCATTGAATAATGTATGTGTCAATTTGTGCCAAATAAAAAACAAACAAAAATTTTACTTTAAGCTTTTCCCGAAATTGCATCTGAATTAGTCCTAAAGTGGTCGTAATAACGAATGCCGTGTTCTGACCTTTTCCTACATTACAAGTTTACAATTCTTCTTGGGGATTCCAATTGCAAAATTTAAACAAAACAAGAGCAGTCAAAAGCTTGACAGAATGCATCATGCATGATCCTACATTGGACAAAAATGAATATAATTTAAGAAGAAATGTGAATTAAGTTTGTCGATTATTATGTCAAGTTCAACTTATGAGGATACTCTCGTGTGCCCATTGATGAGACCAAGGAGTTGTTTCAAATATCAATCCCGCTACAATGTTCGAATTTTTTTTGACAGAGGGGTGATTGGCTCTCACAATGGCAAGGCTCCACTTTTTTTTGGACTTTTATTCATGCGAGACTCATGGCATATGAAAGGATGTCAACCATTCGAGTAAAAAAATTCTAGCAAAGTAGCAAAATTCTTCAGATATTGTTTATTGATCTAAACTTGTGAGTAGGATGGTTCATGAAAGGAAATTACTAAGAAAAGTTGTGAGGAGTAAACTGGTGCGTTGAAAGCGGAAACACAAAATGGTTCGAGAAAATGATTCCTTAAATATTAAGTATTTGTTAAATCAAGTTGAGTGATACATGAAATGGATGGATTAATTAACCAAAAAGCAGCATTCAATATGTTTGTGCGATGTCGATTCATTATAATTTCGCTTCTAAACTCTGTTTAAGTTATATATTTAAATAATAATAATAATAAAAAAGATTGAAACTTGAAACCTAAATAAAAAGATGAAAAATAAAACAATTGCTTAATTAAGAAAAATTATACAAAAATCAGTTAACGCCAATTCTTATAAATAAACTATTGATTAAAGCATATTACATCAAGTTAAAATCAGCCAAATAATCATAAAATTGCATTCACAACTAGGAAAAAATGTACGCAATTAAGGTATATTCGTTACATTTGACTGTATGGACTTAATTTAATTAAGAAAAAAGGCATGCAATTTAATTTGTCAGTTGACTTCTTCAGTTGCCCAATCTATCAAAATTGCAATCTCTACAAGTGTTCGCGAAATTATTTATTCCGATTTAAAATCTACCGCAAGTGTACGGTTCGTTAACAAGGAGTAAAATGGACTGGAAGTCCAAGTATCGATCCCACGAGGATTGACTTAGTTCAAATTAATCTAGTACGACCTTAACTGAAACACGACAACCAAATTGAGGTTTTGTACTTTAACTAACAAAATGTAACCATTGACGCAATTATGAATGAAGAATTATACTAAGTGCAAAATAACTTGGATGCAATTTAATTAGAATTTTATAGAATTAATGGATGTACTAACGCACTAGGATCACGAATCCCCAAGGAATACCCGTTCAATTGTCAATTATGCAAATTGGACACACAATTCCATAAAAGATGAATCGATATTCCTATTTTAATTTAGCAATCTCTCTCGAGCAATACCAAACCTATCCCAATATATGATTCGACTATATTTCTATGACGAATACTAATATACCGACATGCATTATAAATTCACGAATATCCAATGATTCACACAAGGCATAGAGGCATATTTTTATCCCCTATCGGACCCTATGATGATTTATAATATGTCGAACCTATTTTTGTTCTTTCGAATACATAAAACAGGCCACCACAATCATATAATTACGTGCATAATAATCATATGAAAATAAAAACGAAATAAATCAATTAAATCCGAAACTAGTGTTCAAATACGTCAAAAATTCAAAACAAAAATTAAACGTAGTATTACAAGGTTCATCGATCTCCTAGCAGTGATAAATCTAGCCTAACATGCTAAAAAGAACAAACCATAAAAATATTTGAAGAAACGACATCACCCGAATCAATCTTCAATTCGATCTTCATTTGGCGCGATGTTGTTCTCTTATTCTATCCTTCGTTTCTCCTTCAAAATCTCCTAAAAACATGTAAAAACGGCGTCCCTTACGTTTTGATCGAGTTTTTGTATTTATAGGATCCTAAAAATATTGTTTCCATAAGAGTTTCAGAAGAAAAAAGAAACTAAATTTTTCCTCGATAATTGCTCTATGCGACCGCATAGAGTAAAATTTTGGGGCATCTTTGTTTGCGGTATGCTACTATGCGACCGCATAGAGGACAGTACTATGCGGTTGCATAGTACTATCTACTATAGCAGATGTGTGTTTTGGTCCTCCCACTTGCATTCTTCACTTCTTGGCATCCTTGTTCATTCTTTTCATTTCACCAACCCACGATATCGTCAATTGGTAATTGGCTAAATCGATTTCTCGATTTGTTCATCAGATCAACTTTTGGATTTTTGCACTTTTGGTCCCTGAACTTTCACTTTGCGTCACTTTAGTCCTTTTTCATGTCTTTTCTCCTAAATTTCACCATGTTCATCGTTGTTCCCTACAATTCACAAATGTACAAGATTAAGTCACAATTCAATCATTTTGCTCGTTTTTAAGTCATGTTTGTGACCTAAATAAGTGTGTAAAAACACACTTATCAAATCCCCCAAACTTGAACTATTATTTGTCCTCAAATAAGATAGTGACTTAATTCTGAACAAACATGACTTAATACCCTGTTGTGGCTCAGGATTGGACTGAGTATTTAAAAATTTATCTGTGCAAACATGACATCAACCTTTACTTGTTTAATGCAAATTGACATGCGTGTGTGAATTCATGCCAACATATCAGGTTTATGATGAATTTGAGTCCCGACCCCAAGTGGTCAAATATATCCTTACTAGCTTGAGAAATACACAACCCCCAAACTTATTCTTTTCACTCAATTATCCCATGGTTGTGTTTTAAGATTAGGAATTTATATAGTTGTAGTCCTCACCCTCTCGTAGTTCGGATTTAGCATTACTATCACAAGTCTACATTTCAAAAAGTGAAGGCTCTCCTAAATTTGATTGCTTTGACACTCAAGATCAAACTAGATTACTTGTCTTG